TGTTCTGTGGTAACAACTTTATTCAACAACTGTGAGTTTATTAACCTTGAGCATCCCTCAAAATTTATACCCTTCCTTTACCCTCGGGACCCAAACGGGTCCCCAGACAACAGGCGATATAGCAATATCATATATGAATTAATTCTTCATTTTTTTCAAGTCTTTTAAACAACTTCAGACCTAACCATAGATATAAAGTTTTTCATTATTTTTTAAATATTTTTTAGGTTTTTATGGCTTTATTGTCATAAAGACCCCTGTTTTTTTTGGGGGGGGGGAGGAAAAACCCATAATATGCAATATTTTCCAAAAATTAGTTGTAAATGAGAATATTTGGTATGAAGCTATTACAGCCTTGAATAGGTAAATAATTCATAACAACATTGATTTGGATGCATTATTATTTTTGGAGAAATATGAGTTTTTTTAAAATTTACACCCACTGTTTACCCTCGGGACTCAAACGGGTTCCCAGACAACAGGTGATATAGCGATATCATATATGAATTAATTTTTCATTTTTTTCAATTCAAGGCTTTTTAACAACTTCAGACCTAACCACAGGTATAAAATTTTATTTTTTTTAAACATAATTCTATGTTTTTATGCCCTTATTGTCATAATGACCCCTGTTTTTTTTATGGGAAAAACCTATAATCTGCAATATTTTCAAAAAATTAGTTGCAAAATAGATTATTTAGCATGAGGTTATTACAGCCTTGAATAGGTCAATAATTGAGAAGAACATTAATTTGGATGCATTATTATTTTTGGAACAATAACACTTTATTCCAAAAAACAAACTGAACTGACCTGAACAAACTCCCCAACAAACTCAACAAAGATGTAATTTACATTTTATAGCACGAACCTCTAGATCAGGGGTCGTCAACCTTTGCGGCTCCGCGTGGTTTGGGAAAATAAATTAGAAGTATTTAATTGAAGTGTATTTTATTTATGTTAGTTCTTTTTTAACTTGTAGTTCTAAATTGGAAGATTATTGTGATCTTGAAATATAAAAATACAATTATATTCTATTATTTTTCGTCTCTCAAAATAAGCCTCACACTCGCGGAAGCCGGTATACCCGCTGAAACGCGTGCATTTATCGAGACTTTCAACCCCAGGTAGGCCAATTATGGATCTTCGGATCCACATTATGTCAGCAGCTGTTCTCCTCCGTGAACTATGTTAAAAACAAACAGCGCTCACGCCTCACAGATGACAGCTTAGTCCTGCGTAAAGATGAAAATGACTTCGTACAGCCCCGATTTGCAGACGCTGTGCGCAGAGGTTCAGGAGCAGAAGTCCCATTGTAAACATACCAC